GGCATATGAAATTGAAAGGACATGAAGAGTTTAAAAAATTGTTTTCTGGTAACAATGAAATAGTTTAATAAACACATAAAAATGAAAACCACAAATTCTACTCAGATAAAGCCACCATTAACATTTGAGTATATCTTTCCTAATTTTATCTATATTGATAAATATCTACATCTACCTACAAATATAGATATATAGCTATGAAAGTGCATGTTTGTGCACACATTTTTCAAAACAAAAGTTGTAATGGATAAGGATCCTGACAGGGGAAACAGAAGGTAAGAGAGAAAGCAGGCACAGGCAGGGAAAGGAGAGCAGAGAGAGTCAATGCAGCATACCAGAAAGAGCATGAGCTGCCCAGGACTGGATCCAAACCCTGCCTCTGCCTCTATGGAAACCCAAGCAAGTTACTTAACCGTACTGAACCTCAGCCTCCTCATGTAAAATAGGGATAATAATATAGTGCTGTTTTATTGATCAAAGACACTTTGTATGTCAAGTACATACAATGTGACTAGCGAACGGTAGGCACTGAGCACAGGCTGCTGCTGTTTCACAGCAGGCCATTTGGGTAGCTCTATGTGTCTCTCCTTGCTTCTGGGGTAAGACATTACTAGCTACGGACCAGGTCAGGCACAACTCACTATAGCCCATGGATCACAAGCATTCCAGATCCCAGCTAAGAACAAATTAGCCAGAAGTGTTTACAGGTCTTTTAAACTATTGGTGAACTGCCCTTGAGCAACAGCCCACCCAATTTCTAAAGAAATCACAATCTATACAGTACATTTAACACTTAGCCATCTCACTGCCTGTGATTTCCCTCTGATCAGCCATATTCTACCAGGCAACAGGCCAAGGTTACTGGCTCCTTTTTATGGTTATTTAAATATTCATCAATCTTGAAAAATTCTTCTGACCCTCATAGAGCAAAGTAGCAGAAGGACTCTGACAGCTAGCACCTAAACTGCTGGTTCACTGAGTGAACTTGGGTCAGGCAGATTATCTTTCTGTTGTGGTTTTCCCTCAAACAGGGCAGGCAGGTTCCTGTGCCTAAGCAAAAGCATCGTATTATCTACTTTTCTCCCAGAGCTATGAAAGTAACTGTCCATCCATTCCGGCAAAGGAGACTATTATCCTGTCCATACTTTGAGTTGGACCTAATTTAGATGTCAGCTACATTTATGAGCCCTTAATTCATTAAGCCATCAAGACCACAGATGGTGCCTCACAATCAGTATAACGGCACAATGACTTGGGGAGCCTGGATATCAGTCAGTAAAAACCTATTTGCAGTGCCACTGAGTATGGTAGTACCTCCCAGATGAAGTACCTCATTCTCACAGAACCAGCAGACTGTAAATAGCCTTAAATCGCTGGGAGAAATAGTGAGGGAAAGCAAAGGGGCAACCAGTATCCAACATGGGGGAAGGGGGAGGGTTCTGAAAGGGAAACTCTAAACCGCAGGTGATCAAGAGAACTGAGAAGGCAAAGGAGGCCACAGCCCCCACCCAGGGACTGTAGCCCCAGTAGCTGATATGCAGTCAGTATCACTGTATTCAGGTACCCGCCTCTGCACAGAAACAGCTTTGAGTCATTCAACCAGTATTTACTGCAGGCCTATGTGTAGGACATCAGTAGGTACTGTGTGGGTGATACAAAGATACATGAGGCAGGGGTCTGCTGCCAGGGTACATGTAACCCAATATTCACATGTAACCACTATTTAGTATCACACCAAGTACCAGGAACCAGCTAGGGAGCCCAGATGAAAATCATATTTATCCTTTCTGATGCAGTGTTCACTGTGGTAAACAGAAAGCTTTTGCTTCCAATGATCAATACTGTTTTTGTGTGATCTAGTCCCATTCTTGTACAAATACAGAATTTTTTAAGTCAATCTTTAGTTAGACAATATAATCTTATTTTTTAATTAGCATATAAAATATAAAATTGAATATTAAGACCAAATTCTACTTATTCTCTACTGAAAGACATATCTAGTAACAAAATACATGGGATATAAAATTACCTAAATTTTAAGAAGAGATGGTAGTGTTGTTAATCCCAAATCCAAATGTCTTCAAAACAAGGCAAAGAGGCAGGAAGTCTTCAAACTCAGATGGGCTTCAGCTAAGTTAGGGAAACTCTGTGCCCCGCCACCCCACCTGCCCATCTTCCCTGCTCCCTCCAAAGAACTAAGAGGAAGAACAACAACAAATTTGAGGGGCTACAATGAAACCACTTCTTACTCACAACCTCACAGCATTTTGTTTGGAAATACTGTCAGTGATAACGGTCTTGTGTCAAGCCTAAAATGATGCAAATGTATTTCCTTATTTGATCTGTTAAGTGCTTTCATGTATAAATTATCCTCTCAACATCACTGCATACGGGAATCAGGCTAATCTGGGCATGTGGTCAGCACTACGTGATGGTAAGTGCAGGCACAGTTTCATCTCCATCATAGGTCTTCCCCTGGAATTTCCCAGGACTGGCCCCTGGTCATTCAGTTCTCTGCTCAGATGGCACTGGCTGGATATGGAGAAAGGAGGGAGTATGTCAGGAATTTATCCAGGTTTCATGTTTGGTTAATGGGATGGACAGTTGTTCTGCCAACGAACTCAAAGGATTTAGAAGGCAGGTTTATAAGGAGCAGGAGAGAGATGATTAACTCAGTTCTTGTGGAATCTGGAATACCGAGTAGAAATATCCAACACACAACTGAATATATAGTTCTGGAGCTGAGGCAAGTATGGCAGAGAACATCAGTATGCAGATTAAGTAAACCAGGAAGATCCATGAGATCACCCCACAAGGAGGGACGAGAGTAAGAAGGAAATAAGCAGCACAGAATCCTAGAAAACACCAACAGTCAAGGAAGAGAGGAAGTGAAAATAACTAAGAAAGAATGGCCAGATTCTTAGGAGAACCAAAAGAAAGGTATTCAAGGGAAAATTCATGGTACCAGATATGACAGAGGAGTCAAATCTGATATGGGCTGAGAAAATGAGTCATGTCCACTGAATTGTGAGGAGGGTCTACAATGTCCCAGGCACTGTTCTTGGTGTCTTATGCAAGGTTATTTTAGATCGGATAATGTAACTCTATATAAGGTACTTACTAAGACCCCCATTTTGTTGATGGAAAAGCTGAGGTTCTAAGAGGCTCAACAACTTGTTCAAAGACATCGCTGAAAAGCACTGTCAGCATTTAAATCCAAGTCTCTTAACTTCATGCATGTAGCAATCCTGGGTCCCCAGGCCAGTCCCCCTTCTACTTCACATGTTTTTCTCCTTGGTACTTGAAAAGAATACTGCTGCCCCAAAACAACAGTAACAAATAATTCTGAATGCATCAGTGGAAAAATCAACTCAAGACTAAAATATTTAAAGTATAATTTTGTTCACTACAGAAAGTAGCACTACATAAACACACAAATCCTACTACTACATTGGTTACTAATGGAAAAATATTTTGCATGACTGATTGAAACTGATGACAGAAAAGGAGGAGACTGTGTAAGCAAGAGATGAAAAGATGCCTGGTAGCTTCTTGTTTCTTCTCTACTGCAGTACTGGTCATAAGCATCCTGTATTTATGATTTTTTTTTGTAAATCTGTAAACTAAAGACTTTTAAAAATGCAAAGTACACACACACACACACACACACACAAACCCAGAAATACAATGATGAATACATACGGCACTTACTATGTGCCAGGCAATGCTGAGGTTTTGCATATTATTTAACCCGCCCAAGGGCCAGATTAGGTAGGTCCTATTATTGTAAAGTGAAAAAACCAAGGCATAGGATGGTTAAGTTAACTTGTTCAATATCACATAGCTAGGAAGCAGCAAAGCAAATTCCAGAGTCTCTGGTCTTAAACACTACTATACTGTGTTTAAAAGAAGGCAAGACTTCCCTCCCTCTGGCAAGTTTTAAGACTGCATTTTAGAACTGTTCTTCCAAAGGGCAGAGAGATGGACTAGGTACCTTCGAATTCAATGTTCTGGAATATATATAAATTGTGAAAAAGAAAAACTATCTTAACCCTGAGCAAAACATGATGATCCGATATGATTATCAGCTGCTGCTTCTGGAGAAAGAAAAAAGCATTTTTTTATACAACACTTGATAAAATTAACTAAGCAGTTCAGGGAGGGCCCAATTACTTTTTGCCAAGAATCCTTTGTTTGCTTAAAATCATCTACCTTTCAAAGGGAAGTTTCAAAAAGAACTTTAAAATGTGTTATTAATACGCCTGGGAAGTTTGTTTTTGTTGAAAACAGCTTAAGTACTATTCCATGACCCTGCAAAGAGTAAAATACAGAGTTGTAACATATTATGCGTAGTCCTTCAAGGCAATCCTCTAACACGGAATTTTACGAGGTCTAGACCCTATTCCTTGGGGACTGGTCTGTAAGGACTACTCTGTTTTTGTATTTGATTAAGATATTCTAATTTAGTCACAGATATATTCCCCACGGTACAGTCACTGATGTTTTGCATCAATTCGTCAGATAATTAATGATTATCCACCCACCACACTACGAACAAATTAGGGGCTCTGTCCCCGTAAGTTCACTGTCAGAAGGGGTCTCTGGCGCTTTCCACAGACGGAACTCCCTTCCCTGTCTGGGTTGATATCACAACTCTAGAGACCCCGTGTTTGCAATTAATGGCTGCCCCTCACTGGAGTGTAAAATCCATGGAGGCCCCGCGGCGCACTTTCGTGGCAAATAACCGCCATGATCGAGGATTCCGTCACACCATCGCCATCGCGGCCCCTGGGGGAGCGAACACCTCCCCCTCTCACCCGCAGCCTCCAAGGATCTGGCCGCGGTCGAAAGCTCTCGTTCCCGGCCCGCAATCGGAACCCGCCGTTTGAGGTTCTCGCAGCCGCTACCGGAAGGAAATTAAGGGAGAGAGACCTGCGTCCTCGGCAGGCCCGGGACTCGGGGCAGCTCGAGAGTTCCCGCGCGAACCCCGGATCGCTCACCTGTGATAAGATTCCGATGGGAGAACCGGGGCTGCGGAGCCAAAGCTGGCACGCGTCACTTCAGCCAATCCGGGGCCCGTCCGGGGCCGCCCCACCCACCACGCACACGCACGCCCCACCCGTCGGCGCAGATCCCGGCCGTCCGGCCGCTGGCCTGTGATTGGCTGGGGCCGGCAGCGGGCAGGCGAGAAGTCGGTCGGAGTGCGCGCGTGGGCCAGAGTCAGAAGCCGGTTGGAGCTGGGAGGCCCTGTGGCTGTGGGTAAGTGGGGCGTGAGGCGTATTCGGAGGGGGCCCGCCCGACCGTGGGGCGGGAAGAAGTGGGAGCAGCGCTACCCTAAGCCGAGAGCACTTTGGGAATGTTGGGGTCTCGGGGCCAGGGGTGCGGTGCTTGGGACGAAGCAAGGAGCTGAAACTGGCGGAGCTGAGGCCGGCCCTCGCGGTCAGGGCCTGTCGGGGACCCAAAGGCAAGGCCTGACTCCCTGTCAGGTGAGGGAATGCAGAACCAAAAGGGAGGTGAAACAAAGTCATTGCTGAGAGGGGAGACTCGCGGATGGGGCAGTAACGTGGAGGGGGCTGGGGACGACTTCAGGGAGTTGGTAGCCCGGATGGTACCCGGAGAGTGGAGCCTACCTGAGAGCCGGGCCGGGAGGTGGGTGAGGACGGCCTGGGAGGGCGCGCGCCCCTGACATGGAGGCCTGACGAGGTCGCAGGGAGAGAGGGGGGGAGGATGGCTGAAAGGCTGAGGAGGGCGTAAAGCCACATGACCTTACAGACGTCGGCTTACGTTCCTAACCCGGTGTTTCCTCCCGCCTTTGGCGACCGGCTCCTGTCCTAGGAAGGAAAAACGACCTCGGGCCCAGTATAAGGCCGCTGTGACGGAATTTGCATCAGTTAATGATAAGTAAACCGAGCAGCATGTGTTTAGAATTGGGAGCAGTTGAAGTGATTGGGCAGTGTTATTCGCCTTTCTCTCATTACCGGTGTGGGAAGCGGCTACAGCGATTTCCCTCTTGGGGTAATAATCCCTACGGAAGGAATCCATGCTTCCCGAAGTACCCGGGCACTTTTCGAGTATGACCGGCTTGGATTGAAGAGTTCTGACAGATTGAAGCGGTACCAGGCCCCAGCGTGAAGTGTGTTTGAGTAGTCTAGACCAGGGCATCTCTTATTTCCATGTGCACCTTGGAGGGCCTGGCTTCTTAAAACACAAGATTCCATGGGCCATGCCCAGGCTATCTGAATCAGAATCTCCAGGGCGGGCCCTTTGTAGCCCATTTTAAGCAAGCTGACAGATGACTGATGCGAAATCTGAAATCATTGTCGTTAGATAGTAGTTCCTGTGCCAAAATACCCGGGCGAAGACTCTTCAGTCTGTTACATAATGTTGGGCAGATCATTTTCCCTTACGGGAACTCTTATGGGTTCCCATGCATTTGGAAAAGCCTTCAGTAGTATCTTACTAAATTACAGAATAATTCGCCTTTCCCAAACTGCCTTTGAATATCTGGTTATTGGTGTTTCTTTTTGCACCTGTTCAATTTGACAAACGTCTGGGTCCGTTGCAGTGGGTGGCTGAGAAAATTATAATAAAGGATAATCTAGAAGTAGTGCTAGTGAAAAAAAATTTTCAGATCACAATTGAAATTGTTAGATGAGTTAAGTCACTGTAGAAGGAAGTTCCATTAATTTTAGGCATGACTTACGTATTTTTTTACAATTGAAAGAGGTGCTGGCTTTTGTTAAGGAATGGATCTTAATATTTTCAGATTAAATATGTACCAGTATTATAAGGTTAATGATTTGGCAATACATTGTCCATCAGAAGAACCCTAGACCATGTATCAGAAGATCTAGGTTTCTAGGCCTGTACTGCCAGGGGTGTATTCCTGGTGTTGAGCAATTCATACAACTCTTCATAACCCTTTTTCCATTTGTAAAGTAAAGCTGTTGGTGTGGATTAATTATATCGATTGTATTCTCAAATTATATGATTTGCAGTTATTGACCCTGATACTTCTTAAGTTAACCCTTTTCAGTTAGCTGGCTATAAATCATTTGTACTTGGGAAACTTCCAGGTAGTAACTAGGAAGAGGATTACCAAAATCTTATATTTGGAGAATGTTATAAATATATACTACGTTAGAGTTGATAAGATGCTATAAAAATATAATTTGTGAAAAAATATAGCTGTGATGTAAGTGTTGGGCTTTTAGGCATCACAGATAGATTATCATTAGTCACTTAAAACAAATAATGACTACCTGGTTCGCCCCACACTCTGATGCTCCAGGGACTACTGTCTGAAAGCCAGAGCAAATGTCCAACCCTTACAGACTTTGGAGTCTGTATCATAGCTGAGGAATGGAGATCAATGGATTTTCTTCTGGTTATTTTACATACAGGAGGGAGAGCCATCCCCCTCCCTCCTGAAAGAAAGGAGAAAAAAACTTGCTCCATTGAATTGACCTGTTAGACAATTATAGTGATCCAGATATGAGAGTTTAGAGGAAAAACTACCAATTTCTTGCTTTTAAAATGCAATTTCCAAGTGACTTTTTAGTTTAGGAATAATCAGGCAAAGCAAGAAAGGAGGCTTTTTTATCTGCAAAGGAAGATGCTAGTTTTTAAAAGTGGATTGTAGTATATATTAGTTTTGTCTCCTGTGGTTGCAAGGAACCAAGACCTATTTGGGTTATCATTTCTTTTTTTATAGCTACAATATAAGAATTTAAAAAGAAATAAACACTGAGGCACATACAGTTTGGCTTTTTCTTTTTTACTTAACTGCTTGAACTCTACAAATGTGTTTGTTATTGTTTTCACTACTATTCCTAAATAAATTACCTGAGAATAATTTTAATTGTTGAAAAATACCAATTTTAAATTTATCCAGCAAACATTTTGTAGTACACTTACTATATGCAAAGCATCGTATAGGGCAATAGGAGTAGATATAAGCAGGGCAGCAGTAGCCTCCTAACTTCAAGGATTCTAACAGGATAAACAGTGAAACAGGTATTTATAAGAAAATTATTATGGAGAAAGCATGGGGTAGTATGGGGCTAGTAACCAATGCACCATAAACTTGGAGAGTCCAAGAAGGCTTTCCAGAAAAGGCCAATTAAGATAAGAACCTGAAAAATGGAGTTAGCTGGGAAAGTGAAAAAGATGGAAGGGAAAAAAGTGTTTAAGCAGAGGAAGCAGCTTGTGCAAAGGCTTAGAGGTGAGGTATAGAGAGAATCTATAAATTTAATGGATTAGAATATGGGGTTGGTTGGCAAGGAAGGTGGAAGGAGCATTTAGGATAAAACAACTATGCCTTTGAGAAGTTTATGATTAGCTATGAAGGCAACTAATAAACATACTTTAGCCCAAAGTAAATACAATGTCTAATCTCTATCTGGTCCATTTATGGAGTTTCTTGGTATTTCTGAGTGAAACTTTCCAAACTTTAGCTAAAAGACATCACACTGTAAATTCAGTTTTCATCATTCTGTGAAATGCTGTTGGCAAGTAATCACACTCTGTTCTGTCCCCCTTTTAAAAAAGTTTTTTGATTTTGAACGATTATTTTCAGTGTTTATGTTTTATCTCTGCAAATATATAATGAGCATCCTGAACCTTGAGTTTGCTTAACCTTGTATGTAATAAAAGATCAATAAATAGTGGTTTATTCAACTATCAGGTAATATAGTACAAAAAAAAAGAGAAAGTCTAGTTCTAATCTGAGTTTTCTCCCATGTGCTGTGTGATACTGTACGATTAAGGTTTTCTTCTCTGTCAGATGGTAGAATTGGACCCTAGGGATGGGGACTTGGCAGGATGATTTCACTTTTCAAACTAAGCGCTAAGTGCTACCTCTAGAGCTGTATTTTCTTTGAGGGCCTTTACTACCAACACCCCTTGAATAGCAAAGTGTTGAATGAGAGTTATTGTAACCAAAGGGAGTATGATGCATATAAAAAGCACAGAAGTGAAGTAAGATTTTATATGGGTGGTGGGATGGGTATTGACTTTTGCATTTATTGTAATTGACAATAGCCAAAGACTTGTGAACTTACATACTATGCTTGAATGCTTGACTCCCTTATTTTATCTATAGATAAAGTTGATAGGTAACTCAGATAACCTCAGTGAAGAAGGAAGTGTATAATAGTTACTGTGACTAAGGTAAAGTTGGATTTGTTACTAGCTCAGTGTGATGAAATGCCTATTAAATAGCTTTGTGTACAAAGACTGAAAGGGGAGAACAGAAACTTTGGTCCCTATGATAATGGAAATGAATCTTTTTTCCCCTCCCCCCTTATTCATATAACAATCAGACCACTATATTGCCTTTTTGGTACCACTTAACTGGAATAAGGTTATAAAAGAAGAGAATTTTAGGAGGCAAGCCCAAGGAATGTAAGATGTATAGAGGAAGGTAGACCTGAAGCTTAGAAGATATTCATTCATTAAGAAGACCCTGGAGGTGGTTGTTTTGTGCTGCAGTGATGTTAAAATGATGACTCTAAGTAATAGAAAACTAAAAGGCTATTACTGTGTTCAATTGAACATAAATTATGTTTAAAAGGAGGCATTTCTCTAGCAGTAGGAAAATAGAAGCTTTGTCCTTAAAAGGAGTAAATAATGAGCTAAGTGGAAATTGTGACTAAATGTAATCTTTTCCCCAAAGACAACCACCATCAATAAGAGATTACTGTGCTAGATTGAAACTATTAACAAGTGAGAACTGAAGTCATGTAGCATGTTGGAGTAAATGTCAGTTGCAGTTGAACACAGTTGAAACATTACACTTAGCAAACTACTTCAAAGTGCTTGGTGCTTTAACATGATATTGAAGGGTCAATGAGGAGTATCATTTTGGTTTGAATAATTTAAAGTTGTTAAGTTGAAGTTAAGGATGAAGATAGCCAGAAAATTAATAGCTACTATTTGAATTGATAAAAGTAACTTCAATTTTTAGAAAATTTCACTGTTATTAACAGTGTGGTTCTAAGAGGGAATTCGTTGCATGGGAGAAACATCAAAACGGGGAATAAATGCATGTAGCACTCCCTAAAGATGTCTTTGAGTTAAAAATA